GCCATGACTTCAGGCCATAGTGGGCCCATTCAGACAGTACATCAGAGGCTGGGCCCTGAGGGATGTGTCTATGAGCTATCACAGACTTCCCTAAAGGTGCCCAGGGAACAGAACTCACAAGGTATGGACTTCTGTCACCACCTTGATGCAGAAGCTAGTTCTCTGAAAGTAGTAAGGGAAAAGGGCCCATGGTGAACGCGCACACATGGTGCGGTGAAAACAGAGGCTGAGTGAAAAGGAAGATTAAGGGTTTAAATAGCTGTATCTGAGGCACTGAGAAAGAGGAATGAGACTTGTACCTGGGTATGAGATAACTAAGCTAAACAGACAAGAGGGTCAAGGCATGTGATGGTAAACCAGCTGGAAGGCCCTTAAGGAATAAATGTAGGGCATTGTTGACCTTCCAATGAAGCTAACAGACTGTTAAAAGAATGACTTCTAACAAGGTCAGGGAGTAATACCACTGGCCAAGTGACTCACAGCCAGCAGACTGTCAGTGTTCATACCTAACACAGCTGGAGTCAGACAAGGCTGGAGAGGCATTCAACCACCCTTCAATAAGTAGGCGGCCACATACACAGCACACGGTCATCTCCCTGGTTGGGCCAGGGGGACATGCATAGACTGCGTCTGTCCTCCATTGGCTTTGCCCATGATAGTCCATGAAACTGGCCAATCTCATAGCAATTAGCTCAGCCTTTGTCTAGTCTCTGCTCTAGCCCTATAAAAACCCTGGACAAGGAAGTAGGGGTTTGCACTCTTGGGAGTTTCACTTTTCCTCAATTTCCCCATTTTTCTGTAATTCTTCTTGATAAACTATATTTTCCTTTACAAACCCCCATTACTAGCCACATCTTTAATCTTCATTCCCATGAGACATCAAACTCTGAGCCACTGTTCCAAGTCAGTCTTTGATGACCATGTCTGGAACTGTAGGTCCTCGCATCATGCACAACTGGGTTGTGAAAGGTGCCAACAGGAAAATACATTATGAAGGTGTATTTTGCAGGAACAATAGTGAGAAAGCTCAGTGGAAATAAGCCTGGAGTGGCAAAGAGGGTTTCCTGTGACGTGAGCTTCCTGAGTTAAGGACTATGATGGGAGCGTTGGTTGGCAGCTTGACAGAGTTAAGAACCACTTAGAAGAGCCTCCAGGTGTGCCTATGGGGTTATCTTGACTGTGTTCATTTACTCCTGTAGAAAAAGCAAGCTAAATGCTAATGCGCATTTGTTTCTCTGTGTTCTGACTGTGATGTGACAGGCTGCTTTAAGCTCTGGCAGCCTTGACTTCCTTGTCATGATAGACCGTATCCTGGAACCACCTGGAACCCTCAGCTAGAATAAACCCCTTCACCCTTGTTGTTTTTTTAATTGTATTTTGGAGACAACCTGAGAGCACCTGACTCCCACCTGACTGGGGTGAGCTACCCAAATGGTGCAGTGCCCATCCCCCTGCTTTGGAACTATCTGCAGTCCTTCCCACTGCTCCAGGGCTTAGGCTCCCTGCTGACAATCCTTCTCCTATCTCCTCTCCTTAGACCTTGACACTCCTCATATGAAGCCTCTGAAGTGCTCCAAACTAATGAGGGCCATTCATCCTCCTAGAGAGCCCCTGAGTAGCCTGGCTGGAGCCATGTGGTCCCTCCAATATAAAATCAAAAGAGAGAACCTGAAGCCTAGATCAACCAGCTTTTCATATCCAATCAGAAAGCAACTGAGGTACATCCATAATATAAACAGAATCAGACTTCAACTAACAAAGGAAGGCTTGAATTTCATACCTGGATCACAAGCAACACAAGACATGCACATGCCAAAACCACCACAACAAAAAATAATAATATGAAAAACCAAAATAACATGTTACCACCAAATACCACCAGTCCTATAGAAGAATTCTACAATGAGAACCCCCTAGAGATAACCCAGGACACAAAATTTAAAAGAACAGTCATAAATATGATCAAAGAATTCAATGAATTTTAGGGGTGGGGATGGTTTTGAAACAGGGACTCACTGTAGCCCCAGCTGGCCTGGAACTTGATATGTAGACCAGGCTGGCCTTCACCTCACAGAGATCCACCTGCCTCTGTGTCTGTGCTGGGTTTAAAGGCAGGGGCCACCATACCCAGCGACAGCATTCAATGAATTTAAAAAACACACAAACAAGAACTAAAGAAGGGATAAACTTTAGGGATAAACTTCTGACTGAATTCACAAAAGAGATAGAAATATTGAAGAAAACTCAGGATGAAATGAAGAACACAGTAAAAAAAATCAACAAGCCAATTAGAAACAACAGGAGAAAGCCTCACCAATGGACTTTAAGACACAGATTAACCCCAACTCAGTAATAGTAGGGGACTTCAGTAGCCTACTATCTCCAAGAGATAGGTCAACCAGACAAAGAAAAAGCAGAGAGACATCTGAATTAAATGATACCATACATGAAATGGACCTAACAGACCTCTACCAAATATTCTACCCAAGCACCAAAGACTACACTTTCTATTCAGCACCCCATGGAATTTTCTCCAAAACTGAGCACATATTGGGGCAAAACTAAACCTCAACAAATACAAAAAAAATTCAAATAATTCCATGCAGTCTACCAGAAAACAATGTAATAAAGCTTAAAATCAACATTAAAAAGAAATTCTAGTGTTACGGTTCTGGACTCGAACAAAGTCACCAGCAGCACTTTGGTAGAAAGTAGCAAGGCGAGAGTTTATTACGACCGGCCAGGCTGTCTATCTCGGGAATAGAAGCAGCCCCAAATAATAGCTGGAAAGGGTTTTATAGGATTACAGAAAGCATTATTCAAACAGAACATCTGTGAGCCAATCAGGTTTGTACAACACAGCAGAATTTGAATTCACCAGTCAATAGCCTGTAACTGTGCAGATAAGCAAGTGTACAGAAGCAAGATAAGCAGTTAGCCCTAGATTAGAACATTTCACTGTTTGGTGGTTAGGCCATTTCTCGGAACTCACAGGTACACTCCTTTCTGAGGAATTTACAGGAGTCAGGCAGAGGTCAGCCCCTCCTAATTATCTTAAAGAAAGATGGGGGGAACTTATGTTAGGACCCTGAGATAGTTCACTAGGACCTACATGAACTCATGGAGATTAAACAACAGACTCCTGAATGATGAATGGGTCAAAAAAGAAACTGAGAAATAAAAGTATTCCTGGAACTAACCCAAACAGTCAATGCAACACAACAAAGCCTCTGGGACACTGTAAAAGCAGTCCTAAGAGGGAAGCTTATAGCTCTAAGTGCCTACTTTAAAAAATCAGAAAGAGCCCAAATAAATGACCTAACACTGTAACTCAAGACACTGGAAAGGCAAGAAAACCAAATACAAACCCAGACATGGGACCCCTGGAGGCCTCTGGGAAGTTCAAGTAGGAGCAGGGAGGAAGGTGTATAGGGCAGAGGGTTGAAATGAGACAGGAGAATCCTGGACTAGCCAAAGGAACAGATGGAAGCCAAAGCCAAAGCAGGGACAGAGAGATTGGCACTGATTCCAGAAATGTTAAGGAGGGAGAACATGGCATCTTGGGGACGATGACCTGGTCCTAGGGAGAGACTTGAGACTGGACAGTTGCCAGGTTTTCTCTTAATGATGAGGTGACTGGTGTTGGAACTGGCTGAGATGTAGAAGGAAGAGGGGGACAGAAGCAGGTCTAAACAGTCTGGGTTATTTTGGATTTGTGATGTCCTATGGAGCTCAAGGAGAATGCATAGTATGCAGTAAAAGAGAAAAGGTGATGAAGAAACTGGCATTTGAGAATTAATTCCTAGAGAGGAAAGGACTAGAAAAGTAAATCTGAGTTCTGAGAGCACAGGCTATTGTTACGGTAAATTAGATCAGGCTGGAGAGATGGCTCAGGGGTTAAGAGCACTGACTGCTCTTGCAGAGGACCAGGGTTCGATTCCCAACACCCACATGGCAGCTAAGAACCATCCTTGAGTCCAGTTCCAGGGAAAACCGACGCCCTCTTCTGACCTCCGCGGCATTGCATGACATGGGTGCACTTACATATGTGCAGGCAATACACTCATACACAAAAATCAAAAATAATATTTTTTAAAAAATTAGATCACTAAGATGTATGTAATTGTGTAGGGACATGGGAATGAGAGGCTTAGAACGTATGTATGTAATCCCAATACCAGAGAGGCTTATGTACAAGGATAGGTAGTTCAAAGTTAGCCTGAGTTACTTGGTATTTAGCAACTACTCAGTGAGGGTAGCCTGGGTTACACAGCACAAACCTGTCTCAGAAAAAAACAAAGAACAACAAATACAGAATGGCTTTATGTTTTGAGCACTGACTGTTCTTTATTTTGAAACCAATACTCCTGAACCTGGAATGTCTCTACTAAAACTGAAAGAGCCAACCCTTGCTTTAGAATTCTGGTGGCAGTCCTGGGTAGGACCTTAGGGATCATTTATCCAATGATTCAGAAAGCTGGGAAAATAATATTTTCTCCTCCATTCCTTTTTTTTTTTTTTTTTTTCTTTCTGAGGGTCTCCCTGTAGGTCTGCCTGGCCTGGAACTCATTATGTAGACCAGGCTGGCCTTGAACTCAGAGATCCACCTGCCTCTGCTTCCTGAGTGCTGGGACTAAAGGCGTGTACCACTACGCCTGGCTGTCCTCCATTCTAAATGTATGGAAAGGTGCTATTCAAAAGCTAGAAAACTAAAAAATTAATAAAAATATAAACCAGCATTTGAGGAGCACTGAAAAATGCTGTTTAACAGGATGATCACATGGCTTCTTACCCTGACTTCTTCGAGGTAAACTAACAACAAGGATCATTTTTCCTGCACAGATTCCTCCCTTTCCATGTGGAAAGGCTGAAGGAGCCAGGTCGAGGGTCTGAGAGCTCTTCACTGATCAAACCATGGATTGGGCTACATACCTGCACAGAAGGACCCATTTCTCTGTTTCTAACTGGTCCAAAGGTGCTAAATATGAAAGAGCATGAACATGAACTCATGGCACAGAGTAAGCAGTCAACACAGAGGGATGTAATTCTTGTGAACTTGTTCCTACACATTTATTCTAAAGACAGGAAGCTTTATAACCAATACAAAATACCAAACTAGAATTTGATAATTCAATGACATTAGGGTTAAAAGGAATGTTAGGGTTAAAACAAGGGGGTCAGGAACACCAGGGATGAGAAACAAAAGGGTCTGCAGCTGGGTATGGGATAGCTGACCACATAATACAAAGGACAGAGCTCTTGGGAAAACGAAAGTCAGAGCCGCAGGCCCACTGGTTCCCACTCCCACGAAGGCCCCCTGAAGAGCACACACAAGCACTGTTGCCATTTCCACATGTCCTTGCTTCTAATGCAGCTAATTTGTCTGTAAGGACAAGCTTGCAGCTCCATTTTGGTAGCTGTAGTAGAAGTAGCTTCCCACCATGGTAAAACTTTAAGTTGGTCATATAAATATGAGAATAAAAGCTCACTTAATGGCTACCAGACCCCGACAAGGTCTACGGACCAGCAATACCCGTGATGTCAACACCAGACAAGGATCAGAGTTAGTTGGCAGTCAAGGTTGGCAGCTGACCCAGCAGAAGTCCCGGATGGGCAGAGGGGACATCAACCACTCCCAACACCTCCCTGATCAGGCCAGAAAAACATGCATAGATGTCACTCCCTAACTGGCTGGGCCATCAATGAGCCCGGGGAATTAACTAGCCTTAATAGAAATGACTTCAGTAGCTATTTAGTTTCTGACTTGAGACCTATAAAAAGCTCCTAGACTAGTTCGACATCCTCTCTTGGTGTTCCTCCCACACTGGGGCGTTCCTCTTTGTCACTCTTCATTAGCTGTCTTTAAAAAAGCTGGTTTTGGTTTGCTGTTATCATGGGTGTGAGGCAGCGAGCTCCAGCCACTATTTGAGGCTGACCTTTGGTGACCATGCAATGTCTGGTGCTCTAAATTCCTGGGTCACAGATATCTGGGATAAGAAAGTGTCCATCACACTCTGATGCGTTTCAGAAGCAACGTGCCTAGCCCTAGCAGTGCAACATCACCATGGTTCCTACTATAAAACATGAGGAAGCTGCCAGGATAATAAGCAGATATTTCTAGCTCTCGTAAAAAGTGCTGCCGTCATGATTTACGGCTCCTGCACAGCACCTAGGACTAATACAGAAACGTCACTAGAATTAACAGATTTCTCAGCAGAGAAGGAAATTTGTGGGTTTTACTGTCAAATCACTCACTCTCTTTTCGCAGAAATTCTAACCTAACACCTGGCTTATCCTATTTGAATTTGGAAATGGCTTTGAACTTCGGACTGTTACTGGGATCCCACTCTGACTTACCTCTCTGTTCCTTTGTCTTTGTGATCTCCCTTTGCAAGAAATCAGACAAGACACAAAGGGCAGTGTAAATAACAGGCAGAGTTTATGACAGAATACTGTGAGGCACTCTCTAGTAGTGGTCCAAAGGCATCGTTGTGGAGCAAAGCACTCTTCATGGGGTAAGAGTGGACCATGGTCAGAGACAACTGTGCCCATGCGTGGAGGCAGCTGTCATGTATAGTGTTTTCTAATTTTCCTGGAAGTGCTGTGATGAGTAGCTCCTTATCCAGGTGACTGACAGACCCATTTGGATCAAATCTAAAGGGAAAGGACAGTGGTAAATCTGTTCTACAACAGAAAGCCTCCTGCTTAATAGTAATCTTACAATTTTCCTGGCAGCTTAGAAAGTCATGTTTCACTCGGGCCCACTGATACAGCTCATTCTTTTGACCAAAAATCGTGTATCAAAGCAGATTAAACCCACACCACCACCAATAAATACTAACAAATAGAATTTAAAAATGACATCTATAGGGGCCAAGATGGCGCCGAGCGCCGGGTGAGCGGCGCTTTGGCAGCGAGTCACCATCTCTCCACCCTGGGGCACCATCCTTCCAGGGAGGGGAGTTGGAATTCCAGCATGGCTGAGGAGAAGAAACTGAAACTCAGCAATACTGTGCTGCCCTCCGAGTCCATGAAAGTGGTGGCTGAATCCATGGGCATTGCTCAGATTCAGGAAGAAACCCGCCAGCTGCTGACAGATGAAGTCAGCTACCGCATCAAGGAGATTGCACGGGATACTTTGAAGTTCATGCACATGGGGAAGCGACAGAAGCTCACCACCAGTGACATTGACTATGCACTGAAGCTAAAGAATGTAGAGCCACTGTATGGCTTCCACGCTCAGGAGTTCATCCCTTTCCGATTCGCCTCTGGTGGGGGCCGGGAGCTCTACTTCTATGAAGAGAAGGAAGTAGACCTGAGTGATATCATCAACACCCCTCTGCCACGGGTGCCCCTGGATGTCTGCCTCAAAGGTGTGGGAAGGGGAGAGTAGGGTAGGCAGGGAGAGGGAAGAGCAGCAAGGTATGGGGGTGGGGGAGAACCTCACAGGCAAAGAAACAGAAATGTCCAGTGTGACAGTGTGAGATCCCCGGAGAAAGGCAAGAAGTGGATCTAGAAGGAGTACACACCTTCCTTCAGCGTGACACCTGGGTATTCAACTGGAATATCTTCCTCACAGCTCATTGGCTGAGCATTGAAGGCTGCCAGCCAGCTATACCGGAGAATCCACCCCCAGCTCCCAAAGAACAGCAGAAGGCTGAGGCCACAGAACCCCTGAAGTCAGCAAAGCCAGGCCAGGAGGAAGATGGACCCCTGAAAGGCAAAGGTCAAGGAGCATCCACGGCCGATGGTAAAGGGAAAGAGAAGAAAGCGCCTCCCCTGCTGGAAGGGGCCCGTTTCCGCTTGAAACCCCGCAGCATCCACGAACTGTCTGTGGAGCAGCAGCTGTACTACAAAGAGATCACAGAAGCCTGCGTGGGGTCCTGTGAGGCCAAGAGAGCGGTAAGCCCATCTCCCACCTGCCTTCACCCTGAGACTTTTCCCAGAGCGTCAGCAGTTTCCTGCAGTGTATGCCCTCACATCACTCCCACAGGAAGCTCTGCAGAGCATTGCCACGGACCCAGGGCTCTATCAGATGCTGCCACGGTTCAGTACCTTCATCTCAGAGGGGGTGAGAGGACTGGAAAAGGCCAGGCCCAGGAGAAGGCCCCAAAGGAAGGGGGTGGAAACAAAGGAGGGGGATGGTACGGGTCACCCATCTGAGGGTCTCTCTGCCCCCTGCTTGCCCCCAACCAATTTTCCCTCCCCTAGGTCCGTGTGAATGTGGTTCAGAATAATCTGGCCCTGCTCATCTACCTAATGCGCATGGTGAAGGCGCTGATGGACAACCCCACACTCTATCTAGAGAAATATGTGCACGAATTGATCCCAGCAGTGATGACCTGCATTGTCAGCAGACAGCTGTGCCTGCGGCCAGATGTGGACAATCACTGGGCACTCCGGGACTTTGCTGCCCGCCTGGTGGCCCAGATCTGCAAGCATTTCAGCACAACTACCAACAACATCCAGTCTCGAATCACTAAGACCTTCACCAAGAGCTGGGTAGATGAAAAGACGCCCTGGACAACTCGTTATGGCTCCATTGCAGGCCTCGCAGAGCTGGGACACGATGTGATTAAGACTCTGATTCTGCCAAGGCTGCAGCAGGAAGGGGAGCGGATCCGCAGTGTCCTGGACGGGCCTGTGCTGAGCAACATTGACCGCATTGGAGCAGACCATGTGCAGAGCCTTCTCCTGAAACACTGTGCCCCAGTACTGGCAAAGCTGCGGCCACCACCTGACAATCAGGATGCCTACCGGGGAGAATTTGGGTCCCTTGGGCCCCTTCTCTGCTCCCATGTGGTGAAGGCTCGAGCTCAGGCTGCTCTACAGGCTCAGCAGGTCAACAGAACCACACTCACCATCACACAGCCTCGGCCCACACTGACCCTCTCACAGGCCCCTCAGCCTGGCCCTCGAACCCCTGGCTTGCTGAAGGTCCCTGGTTCTATCGCTTTGCCTGTCCAGACACTGGTGTCTGCACGAGCTGCTGCCCCGCCTCAGCCTTCCCCTCCTCCAACAAAATTTATTGTAATGTCCTCGTCTTCCAGTGCCTCATCCACCCAGCAGGTTTGTGGCGCTCCATGAAAGGAGCCTTGGTCACCTCAGAGTACCTTGGGGAAGCCTTGGAGTGGAGGCCTAACTCCTCCATGCCCCAAATCAGAAGGTGGAAGGGTCATTTGTCAGGGTGTTATAGCTCCCAAGCTAACGGCAGTCTCCAGGGTCTTGAGGATGGAATTGAGTAGTCAAACTGGGGGGTACAAAGGAAGATGGGAGCCGAGGGTGAGGGTGAACAGCAGGTATCTGGAAAATGATCCCGGGGGAAGTAAATGCATCTCCTCAGGCCATCTAGGGGTATAAGACAATCACAGTGCTTTCCTCTCTCCCCAGGTCCTATCCCTCAGCACCTCAGCTCCTGGCTCAGGCTCCACCACTACCTCTCCTGTTACCACCACAGTCCCCAGCGTGCAGCCTATTGTTAAGCTGGTCTCCACTGCTACCACTGCACCCCCCAGCACAGCCCCCGCTGGTCCGGGCAGTGTTCAGAAATACATCGTGGTCTCCCTTCCCCCATCAGGGGAGGGCAAAGGAGCCCCCGCCTCTCATCCTTCTCCAGTCCCTCCCCCATCCTCTTCACCATCCCCACTTGGGGGCAGTGCCCTCTGTGGGGGGAAGCAGGAAGCCGGAGACAACCCCTGAAGAGCAAACCGCATTCCCTCAGTGGATCTCTACAGCACTCTGCCACCCTTTATCTAATCTGTGACTATCCTTTCAGCGTGTGGTATTTAGACTTTTTTTTTTTTTTCTGGTCTCTTTGAGACAGGGTCTTCCTGTAGCCCCAGCTGTCCTGAAACTCACTACGTAGACCAGATTGGCCTTGAACTCAGAGATCCGCCTGCCTCTGCCTCCCAGTGCCGGCATTAAAGGCGTGCACCACCACTCCCGGCTTTTAAGGAGCAGCAACAGTGACACTTCTCCTTCCTTAAACGTGGTGTTAACAGAGCCACTGGTGGAGGGCCTCCAGGCTGAGCAAAGGGTCCACCATCAAGGACCCTCAGGCCCCCGTGACCTTCAAGCCTGGGAATCCTTGAGCTACACAAGTGGACCTGTGGAGGTCGCGGCAGTGCTGAATCACAGGTCCCGAGGTCCCCAGGAGGACCCAAGAGGCAAAGCCAGGCTTGAAGGGCGAGAGCCGGCGGTAGGAGTCACGTGCTTAGACCAGCGCCTGCCCTGGACCGTCCCGCGCCAAGCTCAGGGAGCTGAGCCACGCCGAGGAAACCTAGGACAGCTGAGCCTTCCGGAAGCCCGGCCATCCCCGGCGTTTCTTCACGCACACCTCAGGGCTTCAGTTATCCAGGCCACGCCGGTCCAAAACCGCAGCGATGAGCAGGCCTCGGGCGCATCCGTAACTTCCCTCCATTCAGCGGGTCTCCTCTGCCAGGGCGGAAGGCGCCGGGAGCGCGCGGCTTTCTCGCCCACGTGGTTTCCCGGCGCGCTCCCGGCGCCGCCCGCTTCTGCGCAGGCGCGCTGTGTATGCGGCCCCGGGCCCAGGTGAGCGGCGCGCCCCCGGCGGTGCAGATGGGGCCGGCGCTCGCCCTGTGGCTCCTGCTGGCCGCCTCCGCGCTCTGCCAGGAGCAGGACCAGACCCCCGACTGGAGGGCCACGCTGAAGACCATCCGCAACGGCATCCACAGGATCGACACCTATTTGAACGCCGCGCTGGACCTGCTGGGTGGCGAGGACGGGCTCTGCCAGTTCAAGTGCAGCGACGGTGAGCGAGCGAGGAGCGAGCGGGCGGGGTGCACGGAGCCGGCGACAGGTGCCGGAGGACTTTGACGTGTCCTCTGCGCGGAAAGAACGCGCCAGGGCTAGGATCTCGCCGCTGGGACTGAGCAGGCTGGGTGCAAACTGGGCGCAAGTTGGGTGCAAAGTGGCAGCACTCTTAGACTGTGAGAGGTCGCCAGCGTGCGCGCTCTGCTCTTAATGTGGTTTTTTCCTTCTGGCAATTGCATAAAGTTGCCTAAGAACTCACTGACAGATGAATCCTGGAAATTGGGTGGAACAGGCTGATTTTAAATCGTGTGTGTGGTGTGTGTGTGCGCGTGCACTGGTGAAGGAATGAGCTGACCATGTACAGCTAAACGAGAAGTTTTAAGTCACCAATTGATACTAAATTATTTCCCTTGCAAAGGAAAATTAATAAATTATGGCTTTTGAAAATACTTCTAGTGTACTCTGTTGTTGAGAGAGGTGTACTGGATTAGAAGAGTTCTAATCACTTCTAGAAAATAGTCCATCAAGACTGGCAGTTTTCTTTTGTTTAATTTTTCAAAAAAATGTTTTATTTTATGTGTATAAATGTTATGCCTGCACGTGTGTATGTGCACCCATGTCGTGCAATGCCCATGGAGGCCAGAAGAGGGCTCTGGATCCCCTGGAACCAGAGTTATGTTCAGTTGTTAGGCACCCTGTGGGTGCTCGGCTGTGAACCCAGGTCTTCTGCAAGAGCAGCCAGTGCACTTAACCCGCGAGCTGTCTCTCCTTTAGCCCTCTTGTTCGATTTTTGAGACCAGGTCTCGTGTAGTCCAGGCTGGCATCAAACTTGCCATGTAACTGTTGCTGGCCTTGAATTCCTTACTCTTCTGCCTCTGCCTTCCAGGTGCAGGGATTACAGGCAAGAGTCACCATGCCAGATGTGTAGTTTTCTTTTTTGTTTTTTGAGACAGGGTCTCCCTGGAGCCCCAGCTGGCCTGTAACTCCCTATGTAGACCAGGCTGGCCTTGAACTCACGGAGTCCTGCCTGTTTCTGCCTCCCAAGTGCTGGGATTAGAGGCATGCGCCACCTTGCCCGCCTGGGTGTGTTCTTTTCTTTCCTTAAATGTCAATGGTTCCTCTTCCTTATTGCTGGTCACTAGTCATAGTTTTTAATTCATTCCTTTCATGTCCTTTTAAGCTTGCTGTTTCAATCTGAGAACTTGCTTTATGGCATTGTGGGTAGTAATAAAGTCACTACTGCAGGCAACAGTTGTTTTCCTAAGCATTTGTTTTATAGAAATTAGTTTTTGGTGGGAGTGGCTTCTCTTTGGCAATTCAGAATATTAAGATAGCACTTGGGAAACCATTCTTCCAATGAGATAAGCCAGTATCTTGCTCTAGATTAGCCTGTATCTGCTGAAAATAATAGGGAAAGCCATGATTTAGTGGGAAAACTGGATTGCATGTGTAGGTGAATGTAAAGCTATCATGTAAAGCTATGATATCACTTGCTGCTTGTGAGTCTCCAGGCAGTTTCTACCTTTATGCTACTATAAAGGAAGAACCGGTCATATCTTGTCCATTGCCTCTCTACGTCTTCCATTGCTTCTAAAATTTATGCTAGTGTGCATCAGGAAGGATGGTTTTGTTCTTGTAAAGCTCATCAGGGGAAGTTTGTGAGTGTCTTAAAGATTAAATGATAACCTTCCCATAGGCAAAAGTTCTAACTTAATTCCCATTCATTATGCAAATATTAGAGTATTGACAGAGTGTGGGCAATTGGTATTTTGATTGGCGATTGAGCAGTGGCAGACAAAATCCCTTTCTCTGGACTTTCTGTTCTAGTGGAGAGAAGCAGTCAGTGAGTAAACAAGCAAATCAAATGAGTCAGGTGGGTACCCACTGTCTCCAGGTCTGCTGTGTGCCAATGCTTTGAGAACAAGAAGGTGTCTTAACATAATAAGAAAAGAAAGCAGGCCATGGCACAGGGGTCAGTTTGCTCTTTTACATAGGGTGGTACAGGAAAGCTTGTACACCAAACAATAGTAGCTAGAGTGTCCTAGAAGAATTGGGAAGTGGTGTGAGTGCCTTGTGATACTGAGAAAAGGGCATTCCAGGGAACAGAGTGCATAGGACTGGAAAGGCCAGTCAAGATTGACTGGAGGGTTTGAGCCTGAAGCCATGGAAAGATGCAGCTGTTATTTACAGAGATAGGGAAGATGTGGAAGTTGTGTTTATAAACAGCTGTGAGTCCAGAGTTCTAGAGTTGTATACATTTAAAATATCTTGAAAAATACTATTCCTATTAAAAGGTTGCTTTAACTTTTACTTAACTTTTTTCATCTTCTACAAGCCTTATAAAATTTGCCATTTAGAGCCCAGGCACATCCTTAATCCCAGGACAGGTGAGGCAGAGGCAAGTGATATTTTGTGAGATCAGGCCAGACTGGTCTGCAGAGTGAGTTCTGGGTCAGCTGGGGCTACATAGAGACCCTGTCTCAAAGGAAAAAAGAAGATACCATTTGAACTTTAGGGCAAGGTCTCCATACAAATGAGAAAAAAAAATTCTTTTTTGAGATTTTAAGAGTGCTGTGCCTCAGTAAAAATCCTATTGTATGTTGGAAAGCACTGTCTTTTCAGTGGCTGCGTGGTTTGAGTCATTCATCATGCTGACACTGAAAATTACTGTCAATTTCTTGAGAAGTCTTCCTCAAGCTGATTCGGTTTTCCGTTGTTTCAGCATGCAAGCAACCAAGTCAAAACCAAACAGGTCAGGTATGATGTCACAAGCCTTTAATCACAGCACTTGAGATGGTCAGGGAGAAGGATTACCATTAGGCCAGGCTAAAGTACATAGTGAGGTCCAGGCAGAGGCAGGTGGATCTCTGTGAATTCAAGGACATCCTGGTTTCAGTGGAGTTCCAGGCTAGCTGGGGCTACAGGGAGATTCTGTCTCAAAAAGACTGAAAAAAGAAAACAAAAAGAAACAGACAGACAGCTCCCAAAGCTTGAGGAGCACAGGGATTAAGAGATGATTTTAAATTGCAGTAAAATTGCTGGAGAGATGGATCAGGGGTTAAGGACACTGGCTCTTCTTACAGAGGACCTGGATTTGGTTCCCAGGACCCACATGGCAGCTAACAACCACTGGTAACTCCAGTTCTGTTTTGGAAATTTCTTGTAGTCGAGACCAGTAGCCAAGTCAGGTGAAGGAGAGGAATTTATTTATGCCAGCGGCTGACACCTGAATGGCACCATAATGGCACCAGCCCCCAGCTCAAGTTCATAGGGAAATTTATAGTCAACTCATATGCAAGCAGGGGGTTGCACATAAGCTAGTGCTTACAAGAATGATGTAGTTTGGCAAACAGAGACTTCTGTGGTGGGTAGATAGGTGAGACTGAAGGGGGCGGGAGATCCCTCCTCATCTTCCTCACCCTTTTCCTTCTTCTTCCTCTCTCATTTGGGTGTTTTCCACCAGTCAAGGTTCTTACAACTTCATTGTCAGGAAATTTCCATTTGTCTGAGGCCAGAGGATACCCTGTCTCAAAAAGATCAAAAGAAAAAATAATAAAATAAATAAATAATAAATAAATAAATAAATAAATTCCATTTGCCACAACAGTTCCAGGGGATCCGATGCCCTCTTCTGACCTCCTCTGGCATTGCACAGCACAGGGTGTGGTGGTGCACACCTTTATTCCCAGCACTTGGGAGGCAGAGGCAGGCGGATCTCTGTGAGTTCAAGGCCAGCCTGGTCTACATAGGGAGTTCCAGGCCAGCTGAGCTACAGGGAGACCCTGTCTCAAAAAGACAAAAAAACAAAAAAAATCTGAATTTTTTAGGCCTTGTAGGCATTACCAAATATTTCTTATTATTTTAATAATTAGAATTATAAATGGGACTCTAGAAGGAATGATTGTAGTATTGTCCATTTCCTTTTATTAGTGAGATATAAATATTGTTTAATAATAATTACTTTTAAACCCTGGATAATTGGACGGTATGGGACACCTTAGATATTTATTTAATCAAGGAACATCACTACTTAAGTGTAAAATATGAAATGTTGTTATTTAAAGATTGATATCTTTTATATAATTTGGATAAGAAGAGTTAAATCAAATCTTTGGATATTTCTAGAGAAAAAATAATGGTTAACTTTGTTAAATGGAGCATTTTATAGGGTCTTTTAGTGTAATTGGGTTGGATTTAATTGAAATATATACGTGTGTGTATATACATATAGATATGTAGGCAAATTTGAAAATGACTTAAAATTTAAATTATTCTGAATAATGAAAAATATATATCTGTGTCTCTCTAGATATTGTATGTGTGTGAAAACACTTGAATCTTTCTTAAATATTATTTATTGTTTTTATTTTTGTGTATGAGTGTATGCCTGCATGTATGAGTGCACCTGTGACGTGCAGTGTCACAGAGGTCGGAAGAGGACGTCAGATTCCCCTGGAGCTGGAGTTATGGATGGTTGTTAGCCACCATGTGGATGCTGGGAATTTAGTTCAGGTCCTCTACAAGAGCAGTCAGTGCTCTTAACCGCCGAGCAATGTCTCCAGCCCCAACACTTAAATTTTAAACATGAAAACTAGTTCTGGAATAAGGTAGGGGTTCTGAGTAAGCAAATATTTATAACAAAAAAAACATGAGCAGTGAAAGGAAATAACATAATTATTTATAACAATTTAAACCAAAATTAGTATTATTTTATTATTTAGGAATATATCAAGTGAAATATTAAATATCAGAAACCATTAAAAATAATTATAAAAGAATTTAAGGAACAAAAACTGACAGAAGTGTTCAATTACTTGATGGTACTGGATTGTCAGTTAGTCAAAGATGAGTACTATCCAGTATCTCTGAAGTCCACAGGGCTGAGTTTTCAGATGAAGTGTTCAATTACTTGATGGTACTGGATTGTCAGTTAGTCAAAGATGAGTACTATCCAGTATCTCTGAAGTCCACAGTGCTGAGTTTTCAGATGAAGTGGCA